TGGAATAAACGGGATAATCAACGGCTTGCCGTGCATTAAAGGATTTTAAATGCACTTCGCGGAGGCAAAGAACCACCAGACGCGAAGTGGAATACTGGATTTATAAAGTCGTGCATTTAAAATCCTTTAATGCACGGCAAACCATTGATTATCCTTTACTTATAAAGCACATATTCTGCATGACCATATTCTACATCCCTAATTAGACTCAATACCTAAACTTAACAGCTGCCTTAAAGGGGTCATATGATGCGATTTCAAATTTCCTTTCTCTTTGAAGTGTTACAAGCTCTTGGTACACAAAATAATGTTATTTTTAGCAACATCATATGATCCCTTTAATATTAATAAGAAGCAAATTAGGAGTTTAGTGAGGCTAAATTCATAATTAACGGTTGTTAATGGCGATAATTGGACCTTAAAATAAAGTGTGACCAAAAAAAAAATAATTGGCCCCATTCACTTCAGTTGTAATGTCTCACTTGTTTTGTAAACAAGACGAATGATGAGTCAATATCAATTATCTTTTAGGGTACATTATGCCACAGATGAGCTTATCTTGTACTGAACATGGAATATTCCTTTAAGTCTTTCTCCTCCTCATTTATCAGCAGCTACGCCTCGGTGCAGTTTTGTCTCTTTGATGTGCATTTAAACGCTCCCATCCTCCCCACTGGTCCTTATGTGAATCCAGCTGTCACGATGAGGCATGTTCTGTGTAATGATGTTCGATGTTGATGAGTCGACAATGAGATTTGAAATGAAATACCACGATCCGTCTGTGTTTTTCTGCACTATTTTGAACATACTCATCATTCAGTCTAAGAATGGATCTTCTGCTTCTAGTTGCTGAAGAGCGCTTTGCTCTCTGCTCAGTAAGCCAGAGATTCATGCACAGGTGTTATTTGACATTCCTGTCACACGCACACTTCATTCAAAAGCGAAAGCATCATTGAGCGGAGTTTCTGATCCTTGATCTTGGGTCGTACAGGAATGAACACTCAGCCTGCTCTGAAGTGAATTGCTTCACTAATACACACTAGAGCCTTTCAAGTTTATAGCTCAATTTCAGTATCATTTCATGTTTGAGATTGCACCTAAACTCCAAAGTATATCTCAGAGGGAGATAAAAAGTCTTTAGACAGCTTGAAATCAAATTGGACCCCATTTACACTTTAAACGGGCTGTTGTTTCCTCAAGGAGCTATGAGCTGACCTGCCTCTTAAAAAAGTTGATTTGGTCAGTGTAAATATAATGAAACTATATTTGGGAAAAAAGGGGGTATCCTGAGCCACCCTGTGAACTAATGTGATGACTGTGCACAGTTAAACAGTTAATTCATTCATTTGTTTTTAGGTTATTTGCATTTTTGCAGTGTACTTGATAAATTATTTTATTTAAATTTTTCACATTTTTCACATTTCACATTACAGTTTTTCAAAAAACTGTTGAGTTAGCATTATCTTGGTGACATATCAACAGAATTTGCAACAACAATGTAAAATACATTACAGAAAACTAAACATTGAAGTTTGGAATGGATGTACAATATCAGTGTATGTAAAACTTTCATTGGCAACTGACCGAGAACTCTCTCACACTGGCCTCAGGCCAGCAGCCGTCCTTATTGTTAAGATCTGCTATGGCTGTGTGGGCAGAAGAAAAAAAAATATCTCCACTTATTAGAATTAATAAGCCCACTTGTCATAATAGAATCAAATCTGATGGCTATAATTAGGTCTTAACCTACAAAATTTTCAGCAGCCATTACTCCAGTCTTCAGTGTCACATGATCCTTCAGAAATCATTTTAATATGCTAATATTGTGCACAAGAAACATTTCTTATGCTGAAAACAGTTTATTATTACTTAATGCTTCGATACATTATTTGATTCTTGGATTCATTTTTGCTTCTTTTATGAATACAGAAGAAGAACAGAAATCTTTCTTAACATTGTAAAAGTCTTTACTGTCACATTTGATTAATTCAATGCACCCTTGCTGAAGATAAGTATTAATTTCTTTAAAAAAAAGTACTGACCCCAAACTTTTGAACACTATTGTATATATATAATCAAATCAGAAATAATCACATTACTACCATTATTATGATTATTAATACTACTTTACTAAGCTACTAAACTGCTTTACTGATCTGCAGTGTTGCAGTACAGTGAGTCAGACTCTGCTGCTGTTTAACGTTCTGTGAGAGGTTTGCCGCACAGTGTCACTTCCCTTAGATCAATAGACTGGGAATTGTCCTGGAAATGAATGGGCTTGTACCTGTCAGCTCGGTCCCTGTGGGTCAGCCTCTACATTACCAGTGAACACTGTCCCCGGCCCACAACTCTTTAGTACATATAAAAGCAAAGGGCCTGTCTGAGAAAAAAAGAATGGACTGTAGTACCAGTACCGATGTTTTTTGTCCTTTGTGCCCCACAACCTGGAACGAGAAAATGGTTCATTTTAACTCTACTATAATCTCTTTTTTTCCAGTTCGTTCTTTAAGGCTGACGATGACGACGCCCCCATCAAACGCTGTCCCAAATGTAAAGTCTACATAGAAAGAGACGAGGGCTGTGCCCAGATGATGTGTAAGAACTGCAAGCATGCTTTCTGCTGGTACTGCCTGGAGTCTCTAGACGTAAGTGCTCAATATCTCAACACTCTTAACATCATGCTGCTATCTTACTGTATTTTTATTGGTCAAGTGGCCGCCGCTTAGGCAGCATGTTAGCCTTCAATCAAGGCCATAAATGCAAACAGCATCCTTCACGCAGCTGTTCCAAACACCCACGTAGATAATGACCGGCCTCTCGTAACATTGTGTGTTTGACAGGACGACTTCCTCCTGATCCATTATGACAAAGGACCCTGCCGGAACAAATTAGGCCACTCCAGAGCCTCCGTGATCTGGCACAGAACGCAGGTGGGTGCTCACGGGAAGGAGCACATGTTTTCTTCCTCCTTTTTTCTCCACTGAGATCAGAATGAGTGCACGTGCGCCTACACGTGACCGAGTCGTAGGCATCCATTCAGACGGTGTTTATTCAGGAAGTAAAGTGGCTGTCTGTTCTCGAGCAAGTGATACCTGCTGTTTGACAGCAGATTATAATACAAGATGGTCACTTTGGGACAAATTCACTAAAATGATTCATCAAATGATGGAGAAGAGCGGTATAACCAGACATATATTTAGATGAGCAATTCAGACAAGCACATTTTAAAAGGCCATCTCCGGTACTCCCTCCACCCTTTGTGTTTCATTTGATCAGACTAAATAATAATAGAAGAATATTACATTGAAAAAGGCTGATTTTATAAAAGAATACTAAGAAAACAACAAGCTATTCCTTGAGTTAAAGACATATGCAAAGAGTTTTCAACATAAGGCTCATTAGACCCACTCTCCATGATGTATTTCTTAATAGCTTTGAAATAATACATTTTCTTATGGTTCAGAGATCAGCACAAATAGTCTTGGAAAAAGCCTCGAAGCGATTTCATTAGGAATTGAGAGAAACATAGTATGCAGAAAATGCTATTTTGCATCCAAAATAAAAGTTTTTGTATACATAGTGTGTGTGTGTGTGTGTGTGTGTGTGTGTGTGTGTTTACATGTAAATATTTTCTAAATATATACTGTATGTGTGTGTCTTATATATACATAATAAATATACACAGTACACACACATATATATTTATATATATGTAAATATATACAGATACAGTATATATTTGAATTTAAAAAATTGTATCAGGATCATTTTATTTCCTGTATTAAATTAGCATTATTATTATTTTTTGCATTGATAATAATGACAGTTTTAAGGGGAAATGAGCTTAATTATTATGAAAATGTCAATGCAAAAAAATAAAGTTTTATTCTTATGTTTTATTTTACTTTTGAGGTGTAATTCTGATGCCATTATTCACCTTTTGAACCGTCAAAATGTTTAGAAAGATTCTTCAGACACTCATCATTTCATATGCTGAACATAATGTCATAAAGGTGAGATGTCCCTGAAACTATGGAGAGCTTTCAGTACTTTTGCACAAAGACATCTGTTGCTCTGCGGGGAGAAGTGAGTCATATTAAGCTTCATAAGAGCACAGTGGCTCTGTTGCAGGCCTACGAGTTTACATTTTATAAAGCTCCAGCCCAACAGCATCAGAAATTTGATTCTTTATGAATTAGTAAAGATGGAGCTGCCGGGCTAAGCCAGTCCCAGGTTTGAGTCATAGGGTTTGCCAACACTTTTCCATTACGCCGCTCCACCATTCCACATGAGAGCTCTGATAAAGAGAGAAATAAATTGAGGGCAATTTACATAGAAACAGAAATAGTGTGCAACATTGAAATTTGTCCCATGATAAATGAGTGTAATTGTGATGCTCGGAATGCTGAGAGGATTCCGCTTGGAAATAGAGGTCAGTTGTTTCCTATTCCCTGTGCGGTGTGCAGGATTCAGAAATAGTTTTACATCCAGAGAAAATCTATTTCACATGGTTCTCTGTCCTACAGTCATGTGAAATATGTGTAATTGTCTTGGTCCATGATAATGGCAGGTTCTATATATATAGTTCATGCATAAGATGAAGGCAATCTCTGTTCCATTTTGTAACAAGTTATGAATTGTGAGGATCTGATGCCCCTATGTGGTGGAAGATAATGCTACATCACAAAAAAAAATTATTTTGGTCTTTTTGCCCTTTTTTGTTTTAGTTTTATATAATTTCTCACTTTTATTGACAGCGTAGTACAAACATATTACAATTGATTCAGCAATGCTAAATATAACAACCGTTGTTCAATAAATTGTAATCTTTTTTGCAAGTGGGATTTTTGGTGTTAGCCAATGCTACGCACCTATCAATTATTCTGCAGATGTGTGCAGGGTTAATTGTTTATTGATTGACAGCAGAGTAGAAAGACTTCAGAAAATGATGGGGAAAAGAAAGGGTAGCAAGATTAGGAAACAAATGTGTTCATATATTGTCTTGCTTTCACTGAAAATAAAATCTTGTAAAAATATAAATCTAAAATTAGAAGCCAAATACTGTATATAACTCAATATATTGGAGGAATAATTCAAAGAAAAGTTAAGATTTTGTTAGCATATACTCACGCTTATATTAATTGTAATTTTTGAAACGTTTTCATATTGCTTTCAAACAAAAACAGTTCAAGTGTTTTTCTTTAAAAAACACCTATTCATTTAGCCAATAATATATTAAAATACAATTTAAGATTTGAGTTAAAATGTATATTTTTGGTTGGAATAAGGTAAAAAAAAAAAAAAAGTCACGATGAGTCATATGATAATGAAGAAAAACATTTATTAAAAGAATATAAAATATTGACTTTTCATTAAATAGTTTATTATTTTAAGAAAAAAAAATGTTTCACAGATTGTTATATTTAAAAATTATTATTTTAATAATAATTATTAAATCTTAAAATGTTAGATAATTTGACTTTTTAAAAACAAGATTAGTTCATTTTGTTAAATTGTCATGTGATGTAATTAGCTCTAATTACCTAAAAAAATTATTATAATACTTGTATATTGTAATATAAATTATAATATTTATTAAATTGCAATTCAATATATATATATATATATATATATTAGAGATGCACCGATCGATCGGCCAGGGATCGGAATCGGCCGATTTTCCTTATGATCGGCCTTTTCTGTGGACTGATGAGACAAAATTTTAACTTTTTGGAAGGTGTGTGTCCCGTTACATCTGGCGTAAAACCAACACAGCATTATATAATTGAAGATATTTATTAAGATTGAGAGTACACTCAAATGTATTCAGTGTGTAAGGAAAATATATTAAATACATTATTAATTTTTGCTTGCTTGTTAAACCAAATGGCATTAAATTTAAACTTGTCTTAATGGTATGAAACCTCTCTCCGCAGGTTGTTGGAATCTTTGCCGGTTTCGGCCTCCTCTTACTGGTAGCCTCTCCGTTCCTGCTGTTAGCCACACCATTCGTGCTGTGCTGTAAGTGCAAGTGCAGTAAAGGAGACGATGACCCTTTACCCACCTAACAGCCCGGCGAGAGCAGTCCCTGTACGAGGAATTCCGGTCATCTCCTTTAATCGTTTTTCTTTTCCTCCTCCGCCTTCGAGCTCTTCATCAACCGGTGGGACATCTCACGCCGCGGTTACTGTCACAGCTAGCTGAGTAGGCTCCATCCCGGCAGGCCTGATGAGACTAACGGAGACTTCATGAGCCTGCTGCTTGCTTAGGTGGAGGATTCGAGAGCTGGGGGTTCCCTCCACAGTAACAAAAGAGATGTTACTGAAGGAGCACAGCGCTGTTCCATCCCGGCGCTTGTCTGTTTTGTGGATGTTTCGCATATTTGGCTGTTCTGGAGGGTTCTGTTCTAGTAGAACACATATTCAGTGTGTTTATGTCTGTTTCTGTGTGCATAGTGGCATTTCAGTCACACGGCCTATTCTTTATTACTTGTTTTGCACAGATAAGGGGCTTTTTGTCACTTTAAATGCTCTAGAGTGAGTTTTGACTCAAATGTATAGCTAAAATGCTACTTTAAATGTTTATTAACTGCTACATTTTGCATTCAGAAGGTTTTAATGCCACATTTTTTTTTTCTTTTTTCATGTAAATTTATTGTCTTTTAGTCTGAAACTATTGACAAACCTTGTTTGATTTGGCAGATTTTGGCTGTTGATGTCATCAGGGGATGATATTTGCCATTGAAATTTCTCTCAGTGCACTTAAACGTCATTTTTAGCCTTGAGACACTCACCTCCCTAAAACATAAATATGATTCCAAAGCAGGGCTGTTCTGTGAGTTTACATTGCCAAATATTGACCTACTGAAAGTGTCACTTAAACGACACTTTAACCTTATCTGAACACCCAACATTTCAATTAGAACTGTCAAAATACTGAAACCAAATAAAACATTTTTAACCTGTCTTTACCTTTTTTTTAATTTTTTATTATTATTATTATTATTTATTTTATTTTTTTTCACTCCTTGATCATTTTCTCCAGTGAAATGTGACATCTGGTCATCTTGTAATTTTTGTCAGACAGTTTGAAACTTGCATACAGTTTGTCTCACTTGGAAAAAAAAAAAAACATTTTGAAATTTTGGAACAGTCCCTGTAATTCTGGCTGGGATTATACACTGATTTCGAGACTGTTTGGCATAACATATTTACAAGTCCAGCACTGTATCTATGCAAGTTCATATAACTTGAAGATAAAAAAAATATGGTTTCTGCCGTCTTGAGCTAAATGGTTGCTGTGGGCAAAGACAAAAAGGTGTTCAAAACTGAGTCTGTCGGTTTCTGAAAAGCCATTACAAATACTATTTAAATGATTTCTTCATTTAATAGACTGATTTTAAAATAGAGGTATGATACTGAATGTCAACATCTTGCCTGCACCACCTGAAATAGCAAGCGTATGTTCAAAAACTGTTGCACCATGTAACTCAGAAATTAGTGCTGGGCAACGATTAATCGCATCCAAAATAAAAGTTTTTGTGTACATAATATATATGTGTGTGTACTGTATATATTTAGTATGTATATATAAATACACACGCATGCATGTGTATATTTAAGAAAACTATGTTATGTTTATATAGTAGATATATTTATATATAATATAAATATATGCATGTTAATACATGTAAATATTTTCAAAATATATACTGTACATGTGTGTCTTTATATATACATAATGAATATACACAGTACACACACATATATTATATAAACAAACACTTTTATTTTGGATGTGATTAATCGTTGCCCAGCACTATCAGAAATATTAAGATCAGAGCACCTGCCATATGTGTAGCTGGATAATATGTAGCTCATTAGGTTTCCTTCAAATCCTTTGTGAGATTCCCTCATCTGCCATTTTTCGTTAATGTTGTGTAATGGAACGGTGCCAAATTGGAGGTTGATATGACAAGGTGAATGTTTTCACAGTATTCATAAAGTGATTGATTTTTGGTGAATATTTGATGTTAGTCACCTCCATCTTTTGGTAGCATTATCCCGTTTTCGCCTTAAAATATTTGAGTACCTCACTGGTTTTCTCTCCTGTAGCTGAGGGCTTTTTTCTTTTCTTTTTTATTTGTTTATCCTCAGGTCCTCTTAGATGAATAATTTTGGCACTTTTCAGCTTGTGTGATGTTTAAAGAAATACCTTAATGCATATGTAGTCACAACATTGTACATGAAATGGCCATGACATACAGTACAGTAATACCATCTCAGAATTGATTTAGCTACATTACTTTCTGATTATGACGAGCAAAAATCAGCATGATGGATAAAATTAAAGCACAGCATCATTGTCAGTTATGAATAGCACACAAGTTACTCAGTCCAGCGGAATCTAATTGTGCTCATATTATTCAGCAACATTTGGCCATTTCATGTAGAATAATATAAATGCTTATATATATATATATATATATATATACATGTATATATTGACAATCGTGCCAAGCAGGTTTTTATGACATTGATGAGGGAACATTTTCTGACAGTGGGTAAATATATACTCAAAGCAGATCTTTAATGTTGTATGGGCTTTAAAAATTAAGCTAATTGTGTTTCATTTATGGTGTATGCATATGTTTTGTTGTAATACTCCATTTGGTATTCTTTTTTTCGTTGTATACAGTGTTTATGAATTATAAGTTGTACAATATAATCGTTTCTTTAAATCAAGGTTATTGAATTGGCACTTTGCCTGTTCATTCAGTCAAGTGCTGTTTTTGTTCTCTTCGTTTGGGTTGCGTCATGTTCCCGTTTGAAACGCTGTTTGTTTCTACATCAATTTAGAAATAATTGTGGCTTTACATGTAAACTGGGAAATACTCCTTAACGTACACTATAGATCTTGCAAACAGCCAAAAACGGTATCGTTCCTGTTTGTAGGAATTTGCCTGTTGCACAAAACGTAGCCTTGCAGACTGGTTTTTTAATATTTCCAGATGAAACTCCTGTAAGCTCTTATAGTTTGGAGTTAGAGCAAGAATTTGGAAAGCATGTCTTGTTTTGTCTTTTTCTCAACAGTGGTCTGTTTGTATTGATGTCCGTCTTTCACTTTTGACATTTGCCTATTTCAGATATTATTTTACATGTTTTGACTTGTACCCCTTTGGATTTTTAGGGACCTTGTCAGTGCTCCTTGCCATTGCTTTTAAAACTGCTTTTGCCTTTTACTCTTCCTTAGATGGCCTTTTTTTTATGTGTCAGCTGTTTGTTTTTGATACATCATAAAGGAAGTGTTTTATTCTTTGTGATTCAGAACCAAATTCCACAGTTTTATGTAAAATTGCATGTATGAAAAGAAATACAATTACAAAAATACTACATATTTACTTGTATCGTCTTTGCCACTAACACTGTGATATTACAATGTTTTCATCTTCAGCATTTTTCCCCCCTGTTATTTTGGTTATGTCTGCATTTTGTTTCAAATGTCAAGGGAACTGTTTAATAGACCACTGTTGAAAAATATATCATTAAAACATGGATTCAAAAATGTTGTATTATGTAATTTCATGATGTGCTGAAAAATAAAATGTTTGCCAAATATATTTAAGTAAAATAATTTCACTCTTTTTTTAGTTTCGTAATTTCACAGTTAAAAATTATTAATTTTACATTTTAATGCAAAAACTGTTTAGCTGTATACACACTCTAAATTAAATAGTTTTTACTACAGTAAATTAAGAGAGTTGTTGGAAGATTAATTTTATTTATTTATTTGCACGTATGAAATTTTGTTTATCATGGTCAGTTTAAAAAAAAAAATCTCAGCACAACACGGGTAGTAAATTTGAAAAGTACATTTAAAAAGAAAATACAAAATTTACTTTTGGCTCATTTCCTCAGAATTAGAACAAAATGTTTTGCGAACTAAAATGTCCCCTGCTATTCTCACTGATCGCAGAGTTTTAACTTTAAACATTAAATTTGAAGATGTCCAATGTAATTGTAGAAATTCAGGCTATTTAATAATTATTTTTTTGCACCATCAAGATTATGTGGAGCATATCCAAACATTAATAAATAAATACTGGATACAGGCAAATATTAGGAAGGAATACGGCACAGTTTGGGAACTACTAAAATTTGAAATAAGAAAATGTAGCATTCAATTTGGAAAAAATTGGCCATGAAAAAAAGAACACGTATTCAAGACATAATCAAAGAGATCTCAAATTTAACTCAATCACCTACCCACCCATCCAATAGTGATGATTTAGAAAATTTACAGAAATAATTAGACTGTATTTATCAAGAAAAAGCCAGAGGTGCCTTTGTAAGATCTAGAAGGAAATGGATGGAAGAAGGTGAAAGAAACAGCAAATACTTTTTTAGTCTTGAGAAGAGGAATGCAGAAATAAACTTAAAAATTAACAGCACTGTTACTGAGGACCTAGGCATGATTTCTGAATTTGTTTCTAAATATTACGCAGATATGTATTCTTTAGGAGAGGATCAAGACAATGTAATTCTTTTTAAAACAATAAAAAGTCCAAAAACGTTGTCTTTAGAAAGTAAAACGGAGTGTTCTCAAGACCTTTCTCTAAATGAAATTGAATTCTGTATAAAAGCTCTTAAAAACAACAAATCCCCTGGAAATGATGGGCTTACATCAGAATTTTATAAAGTTTTTATAAATGATATATCTAAATTCCTGTTAGCGGTATATGAAGAGGCCATCAACAAAGAATCCTTACCTACATCACTTAAACAAGGTGTTATCACCTTGATCCCTAAACGTCAAAAATATATCCTTTTATTAGAAAATTGGCGACCTATCTCATTACTAAATAATGATTATAAAATAATGGCATCAATTTTTGCAAAACGTATGAAAAATGCATTAAATGAGATAATTGATGAAACTCAATGTGGATTCATGAAAGGTCGCCACATTTCCTCTAATATTCGTTTAGTTATTGATTTAGTGCAGTATAGTAATTTATTAAATGGAGACCCTTTAATAATTTTTCTGGATTTTAGAAAAGCTTTTGATACAGTAAGCCATAATTTTATATTTGATTCATTAAAACTCTTTGGTTTCGGACAATATTTCATCAAAAGTGTAAGAACTATGTACTGTGGTAGCAATAGTTCTATTAAACTTGCCAATGGAACATCTCCTAGATTTGAAATAAATCGAGGCATCCGACAAGGTTGTCCAATTTCTGCATTCCTTTTCTTGGTCGTAGCTCAAGTTTTAAGTAATATGATAAATCAACATTCCTTCAAAGGTATTGTAGTTCATGAAAGACAAATTAAAATATCGCAACTTGCTGATGACACAACAATTTTTCTTAGTGATAGTTCTGAGGTACCTCTGGCTTTGAATATCATTAATAATTTTTCAAAATTCTCTGGATTGAATTTAAATCTGTCTAAGTGTGAGATCCTACAGCTTAAAAATAACAACCTATCCACTGTATGTAATATTCCTGTTAAAAGCATGGTAAACTATTTGGGAATCAAAATCTCTAAAAATACTGATGCAATGGTCAACTCAAATTTTATACCTGTTATCGAAAAAATGCAAAAGAGGTATAATTCATGGTTGGCGAGAGATCTTTCTATTCAAGGAAGAATTTTATTAAGTAAAGCAGAAGGTCTTTCGAGAGCAGCATACCTCCTGTCTTCACTTAGTGCCCCAAAGGTTATATGCTCACAAATGGATAAAATACTCTTTAATTTCATCTGGAGAAACAAGCCTCATAAAATAAAATAAAAAGTGTCCTTGTTACTTGTCTATCTGATGGTGGGTTAAATGTTCTTAATTTTACAATTTTCAACCAAATTTTAAAAATTAATTGGCTTAAAAACTTTTTAAAAAATCAAACAAATATTGTCCCATATCATTTATTTGAAAAACTTGGGGGATTACATTTTTTGTTGCAGTGTCCTTATATAGCCAATTATC